AGCCCGGACTCACAGAGAAGCAGCGAGCGGCTACGTCAGGACGAGCTTTAGCACAATGTTTGCACAGAACTGCTGCATCTGGCAATGCTGACCCTACAGACGAGCATTCGTCCAAAGGAAGGCGACCACACGCTAACGCTGTGGGATCCCCAAGTTGAGAGCAGTGGTGCCTATAGTCATGAGCTTGCCTGGCGCCCGAGGACTTGACAAAGAACTGAACGTCCTCAAGCGCCGAAGGATCCTCTCCATCAAGGATGGCCCCCTCTGGTGGCTCGATTGGATGCTCATTCTCGATCATATCCTGGACGAGCTGTCTCACCATCTGAGCCGGAACACTGGTGCGATTACGAGTGTACTTAAGCACCAAAGGACCAGGGTTCTTCCAGTTCGCCTGGAGGCCTATCTCCTCGGTGGAGCGGCCGGCGTGGACCGCAGCGTCGAGCAACGTCACTCTGGCTGAATGAGCTGTCACTTCTGAGAGCCGGTCCAACACCGCATTGATCTCTTCTTGATTGCCGTTCATGAACTGGGTCACGGCAGTTTGGCCTAGCGTTCGCAGCCACTGCATTGATCGTTGGATAGGACGCAGGGGCATCACGAAACTCTTCACGAGAGTTAAGGTCCCGCATCCAGTAGTCTCGATCAGGGTTCTCAAGGAGGAGCAACTCCCAGCCTGTCTCGAGCCAAGCCGAATCCTTGAACCCTACGTGCGGCACTACGAACTTCGTGCCTCGCCTGCGCCTTTCCACTTTGGTCTGCCACGCGATCCCAAAAAGACCCTGATCAGTTAAAACAAGTTCTTGGGGTTTAACATGCAAAGCATCATCAAACCTCAGAGAAGCAAAAACCATGCAGAGCCACCACCATGCAAAGAGCCTCGCTGCATCCGGTTCGTTCGGATCCACCACAAAGAGCTCCAAGCAAGCGACCGCTGCAATTGGGATGGGGACGGCCTCTTTCAAGGTCGTGTTCCTCTTCTTGACGATCTCTGCCTGAACAGCCAGCAGTGCGGGGTGAGCTAGATCAGGGCACTCGATCGCCAATTTGGAGGTCACCCATTTAACTGAAGTTCTAAAGGACGGCAACACAGAAGGGCCACATTCCTTCTGATCCAATGCAAGAGCGTATTTCAAGATCTTGTCATGGGTCAGTGGGAACACAGCCAACTGTTCACTGGCTAGCCAATCTTCAAACCTTTCCCAGGCTGAAATATGGGCAGCCATCGTCCGGGGAGCCCCTGATGACAACACAAGCTGTCTGAGCCGTGCCGTTTCAGCTGCTGACAACCCTTCACTATTGGTGGTGTCGATCAACAGTTTGGAGAACTCCCCTGCACGTTTCCCTATGTCCTCGAGATTGGCTGCCCATTTGCGCCTGGCCGCATTCTCTTGATCCAGAAGCGGAGTTGAAGTCACCTCCTCCTCCGGCTTCTTCAAGATCTTCCTAGGCGGTTGGGCAGGCTTCTGAGCAAGAGCACGGATCGCAAGAGAGCGTCTGGCTTTGGCAGCTTCAGAACTCAAAGTAACTGATAAAGGGTCACACATACCAAAACCTAGCTGTTGAGCAGTTGAAGCAAAGAAGGCTTTCTCGATCGACGAGGCCAGGCTCCAATACTGCTCAAGCATAAAACTGCTCTCCAGTAAAACATCCCTGATGCCTTCATCCAGTGTGGGAGCCCACTCATGGACCTTGACAACGAACTCCGACGCCACACGCACCTCCATGGCCGAGATGAGTGCCAAGTTGGCGAACGGCGAGGCGAGCACGGCCTGGGCGAAAGCATCAGAGAAAACAGGGAGGCATAAGATCTTGGATGCCCATCTCTCGTTCGATTGAGCCATCTTGCAACTGTTCATGAACATGACATTATTTGAACAAATAAGACAAAAGCAACATGAAACCCAGCACCAAGGAACACCACTCTCCTAAAAATGAGTGTACCAACCTGGGTGAGGTCATGAGCAAATGCCTGAACAAATAACGTGCATGTAGCATGAACCCCCAATGAACATCAATTGAAGTGAAATTCAGCAATTATGTTAACCTCTTCACGAGGCGGCTCTTCACGAGCACAAGGACATGAACATGTAATGAATGTGAACATGTCACGGATTACAGATCAAACCGAGCGAGATGACTGATCAGGGATAAACCTAAACTAATCAGTCGCTCTCACTGACAGTCTGATCTGAGTTCCCACAACAACACTGCTGAGGGGCGTGCCTGAGCAGGGCAACGTTGCCCAAGGACGATCGTCCCATCACAAAAAGAAAAATGGGGGAGATGTGAACACTCGGGCAACCCTCAGCAAAAGTGGAAACTCAGCAAAGCAGTAAAATAAAACACAAGATCAAATTACAAACATCACTTGTCCAAAAACTTTCCCTCTGAAATGCTGCAACAACTTTTCACAAGCTGCGCAGTTTGGCGATCATGCCAATCTGAAGGAAAGCATCTCAAAAGATGGATTACGGAGCCGTCTGCCTCAGCAATCTGTGACCTCTTCTGCAGGTGGGGGTCCATAGCTGACTGGCTGACCAGGCTGCGCAGTGCCGGATCCAGCCACATAGCCGCTTGTGGCCTGGCTGACACGATCCAAAAAGAACTGCGGAGTGACCGCTGCTGCTGACATCTGTTCCCCTTGGCGAGCTTCCAAAGGTCTGCGATGAACATGCACAGCGCCGCCCTGCAGATTGGTGGCTGTCGGAGCTTCTCCTGGGGCCGTCAAAGCCACCTCAGAAGGCACATTTGGAGCCACAGTCAATGATGGCGCCATAGGCCCTGCGAGAGCTCGCAAACTTCCAGAGACCGAAGAAGCTGGCACCACCGATGGACCACCTGTGACTGGCGGCAAAACGACCGTCTTCTGCTCGCTCGAGCTCTACATTGTGAGCTTGTATGGCCAGAGCTTCCCGAGGCACGATCGCCTTCTCCGCCTTGAACAAAGGGGACTCGCAGGTGAAGTGCAAGTTGGAGGCATGAGACTCCACCGCAACTGCCCCCACTCTGGGTCCCGTCTCTTCCACAGAGCCAGCTTCGATCGATGCCGTCCAATGGGCGTGGATCCCAGCCAGCTGTGAGAGCTGCATAGTCTGATCCGGACCCTCGATCCTGGCATGGTGGTCACGGCACCAATGAGCGTTCTTCACGAGCGTCGGGCCTGACACACGCGAAACGACCAGCCAGGTCGATGGGACCACCACCTGGGAGCACGACACGTCAACCTTGTCTCCAGATGACCTGAAGCGAAACTCCAGACGATCGGCATCCATCCCGATCGAGTCCGACGATGAGATTGCAGTCACTCTCATCTCAAAGTGGCACAGTGGGAAATCAAGAGCAACCACTGTGCCTCCATCACTGCATGCATAGAGCCGCCCTCCAACCTCGAACGAGGTAGCAATGACTCTCCACCCTTGGAACACCGTGACCGCGACCGAAGGGATGAAGAGCATCTCATCCAACCGCGGGATCACCGAGTCGTTGATGTAGTTCAACTGGACCGTCATATCCTGGTCCGATCGGTAACCACGCAGTTCAAGGTGGAGCAGCAACTCACCTTCCACTTTGACCTTGACGTCGACCCATGTGGATCCATCATCTGTCATCATAGGCCATCTGAACGGTTGGAAGGCTGGGTGCGAGAGCACTTGCCCCGTAGGATAGTCCCACTTCGCGCAAGGAACTGTCCCATACGAGGTCATTGAGCCGACCAACACAAACTTGAACCCATCCAGAGTGCGGACATAGAACAGGTTGAAGTGATAGCCCGTGTTTGGAGATCTCACTAACTGTCGATCGGACAGCACATTGATGCCACTCTGAGCATTCAGCAAGATCTCGTCCAGAAGCCAACCTTGGTAAGGAGACTGGATCCGCTTGTCTCTGCTGTCAATGACAAGCACCGATCGTTCATGCTCCTTTGCCCCCAATTGTTGAACGTAAGGGGGCAACTGAAAATTCTGAGCGTTGGCCGCCGGCATCTGGCCCCAGCGAATGCCGCGATGCCCTTTCTTCCGAGCCTTGGCATTCTGCGAGGCGATCTTCGCAGCCTGTTTTTGAGCACTACCCAGGAGCTGCTTTGCTGCTTGAACAGCTGGAGCCGCTTGTGGTGGAGCTATCTTTGGCAGATCTGCATCCCATCCATCATGAGGAGGCATATCGGGTTCAGACTCCACCTCCTCTTGGCCAGCCGGAGCGCTCTCTGGGATCACCTTCTTCTCAAAGCCTTTGGGCGGCGGCTTTGGAGCAGGGTACTGGATCCTTGCAGGCTGAGCTCCCCCTTCTTGAACAACACTCCACGATACTGCTGAGCCTGTCGCACTTGCAGAGTCATCAGGACCGATCCAATCTGCAGCACGAGAGGATGCCATGGCTTGCTGGCGAAACTGAGCAGATGGGAATGTCGATCGAGCAGGGGGAAAATTTGACATTAGATCAACTCCCAGGCCCTTATGCACAAACACCGAGAGGCACAAGAAAAAGATTTCAGCCTGGGAGTGATCAGATGACCTTGCGCCAAAATGGCACGAGAGTGCTGGCAGTTCCTCAGTGATCACCACGGGATGAACTTCACACAGTATAAAGATATAAAGAAATATGAACATATATAAAATAAATAAATCAAATCAGAATCGGATTTCCACGATCAAGCTTGAACAAGCTCTTCAGAGTCACCTTCCTGTCCCAGACCTACCTAACCGATGACATGAAATCGTACCAGATCCCATTATATATTGGTTCCCTCAAAACAGCAGGTCTGATTGGCAGCCCCCATCCCTCAACCTCCAGTGGGGTTAATCATTGGGTTCCAAATGACTTCCACCATTTGAACCCAGCAAAGGACGGTCCCAGCTTTGCACGGGCTAGCCGGCATGGCCTGCACTAAAAGCTTAGTCATTTAGGTCGCGGATGCCCAACCGGGATGGGAGTTCATTCAGTTGGGTGTAATGCACTGTGAAGTCTCTGATCAAACATAGGAGCCAGAGAAGTGCTAGGCGTTACATCTGGACAATCACCAGGTTGTACTTGCTAGTCAGTGTAGTAAAATGGTGGCAGATTCCTAGCCAATGCAGGCAGCGAAATACTGACCAAACTATCTTCCCTATTAGAAGGTACCAAACAACTCGTTTCATCTTCAAGCGAAGATCACGGTTGTATTTCGCAGAAATTCCACAGACCAGTCTCCAGGCAATCCACGACAAGAGCAAACCAAGCATCAAATACAACAAATAAAACTTGTTTTCCTGTTCGAAGAACTCCTCAAATGATTTAGTCGACTTTGTCAGAAGCATGACGCAGAATTCGCCAAGCATTGCAGCTGGCAGGAAGCTTCGCAAAAACTGCCTGGACAACATGTCGAAGGCTCGCCCACAACATCTTTGCTTTTGCTGAAGTGAAGCCAATCGCAGTACAATGGACATGGAGGAAGCCAGTAAGCAGGTATTGATGACATTGTACATCACGGCAACTGTGAAGACCTTCCAGCTCAGTGACACATAAATTTGCCACAGCGGAACGGCGGAGGTTGCACTAAGAACACATGGGACGACCACCAGCAACAGCTGCCCGGGATCCCTCCCACATTTTCGAAAGGTCTGCCAGCCCAATTTGGATGTTGCAACCAGCCAGCCAGCGTTTGCAAGCAAGGTGAGCCGGCACCGGTTCAACGGCAACCCCAACATCTGGCAGCTAAACTCCTGCCAATGCCGTTCATCCAAATAGATTTTGCAAAGGTCGCAGTCAGTGCAAAAGCACGAATCCTCAGGGCATCCTACGCCATGTCGGCTGGATTGCACGGTGCATCCCATGTCAATGCTTTGCAAGAGAAGCCAGAAAATGAAGATCACCAGAATTGCAGCCAACACTCCGGCGGCTAACATCAACCACTTCACCAACATCAGAGGCATACATAGTGCTTCTATATTAGGCTCCGGTAACAGAATCCCTGAGAAGTCGCCACGGGAGTTTCTCCAAGGTCGCTGCTTGCCATAGCTCAACTGTTCAATTCGGTTCTGCGCCTCTTTGGAAGCCGTTTCCACGTCCTGCATGACAACTCAAGACTGACTGGTTAAACACAGAGCTGAGGATAGCTAGCAAGAGGGTTGATTATGTCAATTTCTCAGTGTCTGAAACCTCCAACTGTGTAAATCTCAGCTGCGGTGAATTATTTAAGGGTCCTTCCAAGGATCGTCAAGGGCTTCGATCAAGACATCTGCCAAAGAATATGCATCGTTGGCAAATCGGCCACGGTCACATGCGAGCAGGATGTGAAAGTCTGTTTCAGACCGGCGATGCACTCGTTGCAGCTGTGACTGCTGGTTCCCAGTCCAGGTGACGATCTCTTGGTTCTCGCGACATGCATCGATCGTCAGCCAAACTTTCAGCTTTTCAGATTTGATGGAGTCAAGGGGAACTAGAAGTAAGGGGTCCAAGTTCACCAACTCCTCCTCACGCTCCGGAAATCTCACATCTGACGGCAAAATGGCAGGAACTTCACTGGTGTGAGGTTGCCGTCCGTGAGCTGCCATGAAAACCACAACGACATGACACGTGGAAGGCTTCGGGCGATCTGATTTGATCAGGTGCATGAACTGGCCAATGGCGGTTTCAAGCTCGCCCTTCGTCACCTTGGAGGCCCATTGGGTCAGCTCGCGGCAAAAAGAAACACCTGGGACCAATGGAATCACATGAGACAAAATTAAAAAAATAGATCAAAAATAGCATCTTCAGCAAATCCATGTCACCCTTCCCAGCAACAAATAGAGTCTCTCCTCAGGTAGCTTCCTGCCACGCAAGAACTCCGCGAAGTGTTGAGCATCGCGGCGCGCGCCGGGCAGGTTGCAGAGCCCCTGGCAGCTGTACTCTTCGATTCCAACGCACAAAGCTGCCAGGATCGGACACGGTGCCATGATGAGCTGAGCAAAAATCCAACAGACACGTAAAGCGTATCATTCCTTTCCAATACCCATAGGATCCATGGTGCTGGTATATATGCTAACATAAAGGGGGTATATTGATGGTAAATGTTACCATATATATATAGCATACATGGATCCTAATTATAGGATATAGCAAACAACCACCATCATTAAACCATGGATGGAGGGGATTCAAAGATCGAAAGCATGGGCTGTTTTTTTACATGTTATAACAATGTTGCCCCCGACCCAGCTGAAGGGATCAGAATCCATATTTCATGGGTGATGCTGGCCACAAAACACAGAGGTTGCTACAAAATTGGGTACCTGTTTGGACCTGAACTCGGAGACGCAATTCAAACATCGAAAAATCTTTCAAGGTAACCATGGTAATCTTGAGCTGTACCCAAATACCACCAATCAAATTTACAACATTTTACAACATTTGCCTGAAAGTCAAATGGTTCACTTTACCCATCACAATCCATGATTATATAACCCAGGGTTTTTTCGTGAGTCATTCGGATCTTCTGGTGGATTGCCCGAAAAGGTCGCCAGTTGGGACAGGCCGCAAGTTTGGTGGACAGCTGGACGAAGACAATGGCCAGGACCTGCAGATCTGCATGGCTCGACAAATGGGTCCAAGATGGTCTGCACAACAAAAAAAAACATGATATTGGTTGATCATGGAACTCGGAACCACTTTTCATGGGGTGGTTCAGAAATGTTCAGAATTCAGCTTCTGTTTCAACACGTTGAAAATACCTGCTGGACATTGTCATACAAGATGATTTCCATTCACACCCTCCGGCAACTCAACAGTTTGCTATGGAAGCCATGGCCCATGAAAGCACATGGTTGACTCATTATTTCCATAACCATTACCCATGGCAAACTCTTGGATTGCCGTGGAGATCAGTCGATTCACATCAATTCTAATTACCCATAGGATCCATGTATGCTATATATGGTAACATTTACCAATATTTACCATCAATATATCCCCAATGTTAGCATATATACCAGCACCATGGATCCTATGGGTCATGATAGACTGGGTGAAGCCACCTTCGAGAAGGGCCGTGAAACGGCAACATCTCCCAGCCTTTTTCTTCTTTTGTTTCTCACACTCTGTCACACTCAGATGACAAAACAAGCAAACAAGCACTTCACCATATGTATAAATCTATATGCAAATATTATGAGATATGTATATATATACACACACATAAGATCCATCTCTTGCAGCAGCTGTATATAAATTTCGCAACCCCCTTCAACAGAAAAAAACAATCCATCCATATCCGTTTCCAGTGAAAGATGTGACACCCAAATTCGGAAATTCGGCATCTTCCCAGGATTCCCAGGTCCCCACCTGCGTGGAAATGGCCCCCACGCCTTTGATGCCGTGACTGCGGTAGGCATAGCCCAGGCCTGGGCCAGGAAGCCATCTGAGAAGCTACTGATTCATAGGGATGAAGATATATATATGTATATATAAATGTGTATATATATGTATATAAATACGTATATATATATATATATGTATGTATATATATATATATGTATGTATATATATATCATATCTGTAATCGTACATACACAGCAACCATAATTTTGATGGTTGGGATTGTTTGGGTACGGCTCAAGATGGGCAATGGCAACTTTTGAAGCGAAATCATGATAAACCATGTGATTGCGTTTTTTAAATCTGGAGCCAACCCCAAGATTGCTTGGAAATCGAGAAGTGACCATGGTTTGTTACCTGTTTGGGTATATATTGTGCGTGTATGATTAAAGATCCATATAGTGCATTATATATATATATATGTACGATGTACACGACACATATATATCATATATATATATAGATATATGCATATAATAATAATGATATATATATATATACACATATGTGTATATATATATAAATATATTGTGTGTATATTATATAATATATGTACGGACCATGATTTCCTAAGTTTAAGTAAGAAATCTTTAAAAATGGAACATGTCTATGAGTCCTCTATTGCATGAGTACACATTTTGACCGAAGCAAGGAGAGGGAACAGAACAGAACAGAACAAGTTGGCCAGCACAACGCAGTACTTTTGCGACTGACTTTGCGCATTAACATCACAGAAATGCCTGTGTCACAACGTGAGAACGACCCTTTGCTTGGTTCCTCATTGCATGTTTGCTTCGATGATAGATTTGTGCAAATCGTCACAGATTATGGGGAATCTAGAGATATGTTGAGTTCTATTCACAATAATACTGGTTGGTGGTTTCAATCCCTCTGAAAAATATTAGTCAGTTGGGATGATTATTCCCAATATATGGAAAAAAACATGTTCCAAACCACCAACCAGCGATTATTAACCATTATTAACCATCATTAACCATCATTATCCCATACATTTCACCAATGTTCCAGTCATGTTCCAAACCACCAACAATTAAGATGTTTTTACTAGTTTTTACCTGACTTTTTATGGCATAGACTCCATGAGATTTTCAAAAAACGATTGCCGAATCATCGGCTCCAATCGGCCATCTTCCAGGTCCACCCCGGCGCGGCGCGCCTACGAAGATCAGAAGACTAAAGGTCAAGGCCAACCAGTGCGGCAGCACCAGTGCATCTGGGACAAGACCAAGACGACCAAGACCTCGGAAGGATGACATCGATGAGAGACGTGGGAAAGCATGAGACGGTTGCGTCATTAAAAAACAAGACACATTGCTGATGTTTGCTGCTTCGAGATATTGCTGGGTTTCCAAAAATCGGGAAACCGCCCCAGTTCTCATCCATTTATAGCTGGGATTTTCCATCATCCAGCGAGCTTGGGGATACCCCATTGATGGAACCCCTCAGATTTATCATCGGTTGAATCGATTTTAAACGGGATTTCTGCAGGAAACGTGAGACCGTAGATTAAGCGCGCGTAAAATTGGTCAGAGTGACCACACTATGCGCTATTAGTAGCATTTATACGCTAGTTTTTATACGCTATTAGTACATATTAGTACACAGTCTTAATAGGTTTGTGATGTTTTTTCAGGTGATTTTCCCTTCAAAGAATGAGAACTCAATTGATATTCTCCAAAATTTGGCCCATGCCAAGTCCCCAGAACACTGAGACACCCGGACGTGCAGTGGACTTGATCACAGTCATTCTTCGTTGCGATATCAGCCGAGCAGTTTGGTGCAACGGCTTCACTACGATACATGTATCAGTAGGACTTCATTTTCTCGAACAAAAATGGGCTTCTGGAAAAGAAGCGCATGTGGATGCAGCCAGCCGGGACCCTCTGGTGGGCCGTGGCACATCTTCTTGGATGTTTTTTCAATGGTCATCTGATATCATCTGATCATCAACAAATTGCCATAAGGTTCCCAATTCTCCATGCACCTCCGATTCATGAACTCTTTCCCACTGTCCCTGCATGTCCGTGCATGTCCGTCGCAGCCCGCGTGTTTTTGCACAGCACGCTGCTGCGTTTCTGATCTTTCGCAGTTCACAATATGTAGTAATGCTGTGAAACAGATTCGTGATTTTACTTCAGGCTTTGGGTTCACCAAATGTATCCCTCTGGACCTTCAGACGTCACGTATGACGTCATGGCCATGACCGAATTTTCATTGGTTTTCCAAGCATTTTGAAGCCAACTTAGGTATGTTACGACATGTTACAACTGACTCTTAAAAACATACAGCAAATACTGTTTTTAATCAAAAGAAAGGCCCTTTTTTTGTTTGGCAACTCAGACGGTGTTGTAAGTCGTTGACTTTGCTGATGTCGTTTGCCTCGGATGTAAATCAGTCGGGCCCAGGCGGGCCCAAGTCAGTTGCAGTTCCCACAATGGGATTGTACGTTTCTATACGTTTCTATCTTTTGGGTTGAAGGTGAAACAAAACTAAGCAGTGCTGAATGTGCTTTCAATTTGCTGGAACCCTGAACAGCTCTGTCTCTTTCCTGCAACCATCGGATGTGGGCTGAACTAAATTATTTCACAAGGATACTACCCTCTGGTAGACAAACATAGCTATTGAAAATGGCCATTTATAGTTATCCATTAAACATGATGCTTTTCCATAGTTATGTTAGTTTACCAGAGTGTACTTGTTGGCAAATGATCTCTTTTGCATCGTTTTTTCTCATCGTTTTATGGGAAGGCCTTATGCTGAGAACGAGGCTTCCAAATCACTATTTGGAGGATCATCCCTTTTAACTGGTTTACGGCGAATCAGCCATATGACAAAATGGGATAAGCCTAGGAATCGGGGACCAGGATTACTCACCACTGGATGTATCAGTTGCTAAGGTGGATGATTCTCCAACTCATCTGAAGCTGAATAAACCCAGCTAAGCAGCTCCGGAGCCAACTCCTTCATCTGTTCAAAGATGGAGGCACCCAACAAAACCATCGCAGAACCCGCCTGGGGAAGGCGGGTTCAAAAAAGACCACGGAAAGCTGTGGATTTGGCTTTTGAACCATTGAAAAAATATGAAAAAAATAAGCATTCAATTTTTCTCGAAAAGCATGAAGGCTGTTTTGCTTCTTTCTCTGGACTTGTTCACCAATAAAAAAGTTATGGAGGCCCCTTAACCCCACAGTTTGATGTTTGATCCAGTAATAAAAAATAAACATCACCTGAGTTGGAAAGGTGCTCATCAGTTCTTCAACCAAAATCATCTAAAAATTATTAAAAATTGACCCCCCTTCCAAAAATATTGACATATCGGTGGACCCCTATGCAAAATTGCACTGCATGGATGCTCAAAAGACATAAGTGAAAAAAAAACTGCCTGGCACCGTGATTTTGCTTTTGACTTCGATTGGTTTCTCAGGACAATCTGCCATAAAAGCCTTAAATCTACAATGTGGGGTCCCCCAGTTATAAGTTGGTTTATAAACACCAGTAAGTATAGTTATGTCAGTACATATAAGTACGAGAAACCATAGAAAAATTGGAGTTAAACGTTCGCCAACTTAGCTGTCGACTGGGGGCCCCACATTGTATTAAACATCATTAAATGTTCCCTCTTTTCCCATCAACCAATCAACTAATACCCGAGGTGCCACAAAGGGCAACGTGAGTCTTTCACCCATGAAGGAGCTCGACCTGAACTGATCCATGGCTCATGGCTGTGGCAACCGAACATGGTTTTTTTTCCACCCAAAAAATATGGAACTTCAAGGGGAAAAAAAAATGATTCATGGATAAACAATTGATAAAATTTGATAAAATATGACAAACCTAGCATGATTTCACCATCTGGCGCAGCCGGCTGCACCCCTGCAAGCAGACGGCTGCGCCAGAATTCCAATCTTCCCTTTTTCCACCATCGCGACGTGGGGTTGTGATCAAATTTATCCAAATCAGATCTTTGGGTTCTCCCAACATTTTCAGACAAACCCAGATTCCGATGGGCTATGGGCCAGAAAGTTTGCTGGGGTTTCAGCAAGGAAAACCAACCTGCAGAAGATGTGATTCACAATGGTTGGTTGATATTTACTATATGGATAATTTTTTTTGGGTACGGTTCAAGACTACTAACCCGGTGACCAAAAATGTTCGTAATTCTTCGCGGCAACCAACCCTTTTTTGTGATATCGACCAATGAGCGAATAATTTGTTTTTTCTTTGGGTGTGGGGTTCACATGCCTGGGATGATCTACGATAATGATCATCAACTTCAAAGCAATGGAATTCAAAACCACCAACTGTTCAGCAGTTGATCCTCGGTTATGGTTCCAACTGTTTCCCGGACAATGTGGGAATCCTTCGAAAACCAGTCAACCAACTGGAGGAAAAAATGATGGACATCCATCCCCAAGTCTGTGTTTCAAGTCAAGGGATGGCACTTTTGGGTTCGAGAAGACGGGCGAACGTTACACTTTTGGTTTCTTTGTTGCGAATCCCCTATGCTGATGAGCTACAAGCCATCCTCAAAAATGGGTAACGGAAATAGTCCAGCCATGGCATGGAAAACGGACAACACATCAAAATCATCGGATTTTGTGTTCTGAACGGGATGGTCCAACTCTGTGCAAGCTTGTCTGGTTGGTGGTTTCAACCAACCCCTCTGAAAAATCATGGAGTTCGTCAGTTGGGATGATTTTCCATTCCCAACTGAATGGAAAGTCATTCAAAATTCCATGGTTCCAGTCACCACCAACCAGGTGATTATTAACCATTAACCATCATTAACCAAAGATTTTAAACCATTATGAACCATCATTGTTAACCATTAAACCATTCATGTTCCAAACCACCAACCAGTTGTATACTCATATCCCAGCCAGTGATTTAGGTGACTCATGTTGCCCGTCAGTGACTCTAGTGATCATCCACCAAACCCCAGTCCATGAGTCATTGAGATTCCTGGGTTTTCGGGTATGTGCCAGGGTCAAACATGGTATATGGGTTATGGTCATCCCTCTCATATTGGGAATCCTCATTGTGTGCATATAACTGAAAATTATATAATGGATTGATGAAAGATGCCTTTTATGGTCACACAATCCATCTTTTGACCATGGCACATATTATGTGTGTGTACAATAAATGTTATACAAACATATACATATGTATATATATACACACATATTAAATATATATACGTATGTATATATATATATAGGTAGGTAAGGTAAGGTAAGGTAAGGTAAGGTAAGGTAAGGTAAGGTAAGGTAAGGTAAGGTAAGGTAGGGGGGTAGGGTAAGGTAAAGGTAAAGGTAAAGGTAAAGGTAAAGGTAAAGGTAAAGGTAAGGTAAGGTAAGGTAGGTAGGTAGGTAGGTGGGCGGTGGGTGCTAGGTAACTGCTGCCTTTTGGGTGTTTCTGAGCTGTTCTGATTTGTTTCTGACCGTTTCGCAAGGTCTGTTCAACTGCTGAAATATCAAAGGAAAAACACGAGTATTACACTACGGTAGTACTAGAACTAGAACCAATAGGATTGGTAGTAGTACTGCTGATGGTGGTGGTGGTGGTAGTAGTAGTAGTAGCAGCCATTATAGTAGTAGTAGCAGCAGCCAAATGAAGAAACACCCTAGCGCCAAGCTAGCGCGGCCCAGGAGCACCGCCACGGTCATCAGGATGTTCATCTTCCCAGCGATCTGTGCAGCTGGAGCACCCAACATCTTGATCAGGAACATGCCTGGCAGCTGGAGCTACGAATTGAACAAAAACGCCAAGTCCCCGAGTGTGCTAAAACGACTACATGGTTATCCCATATATATATACATAATTATATTATATATATATATGTGTTTTACATATATATATATAACATGCTATATTATTACATGTTATAACCATGGTTGTACTACTAAGCATTTGCGATTCGTGGATGATCCTCCAAGTAGAAAACGTGGCTGGCAATGAGAAATCTCCCTAGTTCATGGAAGAGGGATGAAGAGGGCAATTTATGTGGGTTCTTGATTAATATTGATTGCATTTTTTTTGTTTCATGCTACCCTCTGGTGATTTTTCACATAGCTATGGTTAAAATGAATTAAAATGGCCCATGGAAATAGATGGAATCTATGATGATTTACCATGATTTACCTAATTTCATATATTACAAATGGTTCTATGATGATTTACCTCATTTTACCTATTGCACATGGTGGTTGTCCATGGGTTTTCCCAACATGGTCTATTCATTTGCCTTGGAGAACTCACGGCTTTGAGTCGACTACGTCCTCTGGGATCCAGTTTTGGAACTCAGCTGGATGAATAGTAGATGAAATGGTTAATATACTGTTAATAATGGTTGATATATGGTTATTAAGGTTAATAATGGTTAACTAGCCATGGTGCAACTACCTGAAATCCACCTGCTTTGTGACATGGAAGAAATGGAAGGTTGCGGAGCGCAGCCCCGCCGTGAGACTCTTAGATGCTTTTTGTATCAACACGAACTTATGTCAACTTTCATGAATGCTAAGCGCGCTGTCAAAAATGCGCGAGGTGTCATTTTAACAGAAAATGAAATGACTTTTTGGGGGTTGCTTACCCAATCCTTCATCAACCAAGGTTTATTCGTCCACGGCTCACATTACAACAGGCCCGGGCCACCCATGATGCTCAAGAAGACGGCACAAAAGGCGCTGACTGCAAGCCTCAATCATTTGGCACTGAATCAAAGAATTGGAAACTGGGACGACTTGCAGAAAACTCCGATATTTCATGGTAACCACAATCGTTTCCTCCAGAGATTTTTCCGTAAATCAATCCATTGACTGAAGCAACAATCAACTGAAGCAGACATTTAATCCGGATTGAGATTTCTGGACCACAAAATGTGGGACATCATTTTTTTTCATGGTCGCCCCAGCGGCAGGGCTGCCGCTTGTGAGCCCATGTAAGGCATGGCGAAGAAGGGCTCAAGGCCCTCGACGACCTTAGGCGATGCGCCCCATGAATTGCAGGATTATGTCACGGATTATCTGCTTGGTGGTGCTATTTCACCATCCCTATATATGGTTAGTATGGTTTAATATGTTTAAAAAAACCCATTGATTATCATACTTAGCTACTTAGCTGGTTGGTGGTGCTATTTCACCATCTTGAAAAATGATGGAGTGAGTTCGTCAATGGGAAGGATGACATCCGCTCATATGAAATGGAAAATAAAATTCCATGGTTCCAAACCACCAACCAGTTATATGCCCAGTTGATTATATGGTTATATATATAAATATTATATGATATACTATATGATTGCCATCCATAAATAGGCAGTTGATTATATGGTTATTGCCGTTATTGCCCAGTTATCAGCCATCAACTGCAGGTTGAAGGAGGTTGAGGATTCTCTGAGACCAACGATGTGTGAATCGACTGTCACTCAGTAGCAGCTAAGCTACTCCCACATGAATGTTGGCTCATGTCACCAGTGAACGTTCCCCAAAGTGAGCTTCCCAAAACTTAGTCAAATACAAAGATTGTTTGCAAATGTTGGAGGTTCTTTCGTTTCTGTCCTATTTTTTTTACGGGGTAGATACAAACTGACCCCTGCCGCCAAGTCACCAAAGTTACAACCAAGCCAAAGCAGAAGACCTGGACGCCGGAAAAAAAACAGCTGGAACTCATGATCCACAACACAAAGTCCCAGGTTTCTCCAAAAAATCACCATGTTTAATGGGTAAATCCACTATAAATGGTGATTTTCCATAGTTATGTAAACGTTTACCAGAGATTTATAGTGGATTTCCCCCAAAATCAGGAACCAAAAGAACCATTTTTTGTCTGCCATTTCTTGGGGGAAGTCTGGCGCCGAGGAGCTGCAGGGGAAGTCAGTGCCACCAAGTTCAAGGGCGACAGTTTTGGACAGTCCTGCGATTTTTCGGTCCCGAGTTTCGGCGATTCGGAACTTGGGGCAGTTGAGGTTACACATGGATATAACCATGGTTATAAACCCCCACAAGTTGGAACATAGACCCTATAACAACTGCACTTCCAAGAAGTATACCTCATGATAATAAACCACTCATTTCTTAGATGCATAAACCACTGATTTCAACTGATGCAGTTGAGCGCAAAGAACTTTTTGCTGGCGCCCTATGTACCCATGTCCCCACCATTCCGATGAACCATCTGGGGCAAACCCTGGTAAATACTATAAACATATCGGTGACATAGCATTGCAATACCAAACCTCATCACCCAAAAATACCCCAGTTTCAAACCCGAAAAAAATGGTGAGATCTTAAAAAACTTTAAGCGAATGTTCCGAGACGACGACCAACCGACGCTGGTGCAGCCCGGAGCCACCTGGTCAGACTCGTACTTGTTCATCTGGCAATCCATCAGCACCGAACGAATGGATCGCGCAAAGAGGGCACCTCAATGGGCCGCCTATCAGCACTGGCACATCAGGCTGTGGCCGTGGCTTCGCAATGCTTCGCATAGAAAAAACCATGAAAAAACCATGGTTGTCCCTTTAGAGATGCGATAAACACATCTATTTGGACTCAAAAAATCCGGGTGAAGCTATGATTTCGATGATCCTGGAGGATCCGAAGCGAGCGAAACGTGAACTCACTGGGCATTGAACCTACGACTTCGAAGTGGGGTGAGCGAAGCCACTACCAGTCATTAAGCTGAATCAGCAAGTAGGGATATGATAGAAAACAGCGTACACCTCTCAGTGAAAAGGTAATTTTTTCAGAGGGAAAATGAGGTTCTAAAGTAATAGAAATTTGAGGGGGGTTCCCTACATGTTCAGACAAAGCCATATGCTGGCTCCAAACAGCCCAATATCTACGGTCAGGTCAACATCAACCCTCATTTGCCAAACAAGAGTTTTCATGAAGGGAGTCCTCAGGTTGGCGGTTACAACCCCCTGAAAGTATGAAAGTGGAAAATCAATATTTCAAACCACCAAGCAGTGATTCATATTGGTTACATCCCCATAATATCCCCATTTCAGATGGTTAAACCATGTTAAATCCCCATGTTTCTCGGTTCATCAACCAACCAACCAGCCTTTTTGCTTCGGGATTTTCCTATATTTTCCTTCCAGACTCCAGATTCCGGGTCAGATCTCCCATTTTTCATCATTTTTCCATGTCTCCATTCACCAAAAAACCAGCCATAGCAGCCCGGGCACCGATGCCCAGCATCATCCCCAGCAGGGCCAGGGAGGCGCTCTGGCCCTCCACGGTCAGATTTCGCAGCCCTTCGCGGCTGATCACGGCATCCTCAAGGCTCGGATGCGGAACGAGCGTGAAATGAAGCTGGGATGGACCCCTTGGGCCATGGAAAAACCATTGGCCCCAAGTCATCAGCATTTTAGACGACCATTTTCATTATCTTAGACTATTTTTGTTAAGACTAAGATAGCTGAACGTGGTCATCTATAGTTGATTTCCCCATCAAAAATGGTGATGTTCCATAGCTAGTTTACCAGAGGGTAACCAGTCACCCAGCAATGCGGGTAAAACAATAAGAAACAATCCCCCAAGTCATCACCATATTTTTATGGGTAGGTTGTGTAAACCATCCTCAAATGACTCAAATGGTAGGTTGTGGCATTGGGTTGCCGACATTCTAAATCATATCAAACAGAAAAGAGTGCATAAAAACACTTTTAATGGGGGATGTGGATGAACCAAGCACTTATCAAAAACCTGACATAGCCTACTTTTTTATACTGTTTTGGTATACCAGAGTTGTAAACTTCATTCCCCAGCCTGTAATGTGCCCAGTGGACGACTGCGATGGGGGTCCATGTGGATAATCAGTGGGCGTACCATGGGGTACCCATGTTTATGGATTGCTTATGGATTGTTTATAATGGAAAATAAAAAATTGATGATTTGGGGGTAACCCCATTTTAGGACACCTCCATATCTTTGTGTACTGTATCCCATCAAACTAAGGACGCTTTGCCGCTTCGGTAGTGTTTCCCTGTAAGCAATTCTGGAATTAACAGGTCTTGAAGTTTCTGGTAGATTCAACAGTACATAGCTAGCCAATTGTTTACAGGAAATCCTCCTTACAAATGGGTTTCGCATAAATGTCACGGATAATTATTGCCAGACCTGTTAGCCAAAGGGTAATCAAAAGGTGAGCAGACTTCAACTTCACCATCATGACGAGCAACACCTTACTTACACTACTACGCTCCAACTCCATAGCTGCTGGCACCCATCTCGCCCAATCCAAGCTGCCCCAGCAATTGCAATAGCCTCAAGAGCTTTTCAGAAATGATGCGTGCACACCATTCGCAAAGGGATAAGGGTTCTTCCACTGATCATCCTCATTCAAGAAAGTATTATTATAAATATATATATATACAGTAGATCCAAGTACAGGACAATTAATGACCCATACTGCATAGTCCAAGTCGACTAACAAGTTTGTCGGTCACTGTTCACCTGTTCACATGGCGGATTGTAAATGCGCCTTTCCAACCGCAAGTTCCACAATCAAACCCTCCTGGAAACCGGGCTGTATCCAACTGACCTGTGGTATCCACATTTTTTCTGTGTTTCAACCATGAACATCCTCATGTCTTTTGCCTGAACCATCCCACTTTGCTGGATTTCAGATTTTTTTCCTCATGTCTCAAGGTAGGTTTTATCATGTTTTCATCCCATGGTTCCGTGCATTTTGGGGATTGGTTGGTGTCATCTCCATGTTTTCAATTTTGAAAGATCTTTGGTGCTGCAAAACCAATCATGTCATGTCATTTGGATGGAATGATTTTGATGGAGTGTGATGTTTGATGGAACTGAAAATATCTTAAAACCATGATGCTTTCACTTTCTTCATTCAAGAACTCCGTGGGTTAACCATTATTCCCATATGTTCTCCATATCTTTCCCAAAAAAAACTTGGATGTGTTCCATATTCCATATTTCTCCATGTGTTTTCCCATAGGATTTTTTCCGCCAAGCGACGATGCCCAGCCAGGCCAGTACTGCAAAGCGGCGACCCAGGAGGGCACTGATCAGGGCAGTTAAGACCTGCGAAATCGTGGGCATAGTGCCATGGTTTATGATGGTTAATGATGGTTAATGATGGTTAATAATCACTGGTTGGTTGTTGGAACCATGGAATTTTGAATGACTTTCCAGAAACAGTTGGGAATGGAAAATCATCCCAACTGACGAACTCACTCCATGATTTTTCAGGGGGGTAGGTCAACCACCAACCAGTTTAAATACAATTCCCCACTTGGTAGATGATTCATGATGATTCACAGTACATACCCTCTGGTTATGACTAACAGTTCGTCATGGAAAATAGATGGCCCATAGAAATAGATGGTTTACCGAACTGACAAATGGTGATGTTCCATGTTAGATAACCAGAGGGTAGATATTATAGTTCAACATATTGTCTACTGAATGGGAAAAAACATATTAACTATGTTAATAAACCTATGAAACAGTTAACATAACCCAATAAACCTTGTAAACCATTATCATGATAATTAAGACTATGGCAGCTATGTGTCTTATGGGTGGCTTAACTATGGTTTATGGTAGATATAATTATAATTCATGGGGGGTTATAATCTATGAATTCTTGGATTATCCATCTATAGATATTCCTATATAGTATAAATAGACTATTTATCAGGTAGGGATGGATCATCTATATATAGATAGGTATTTTTGTGATGGATAATCTATAGATTCTATAGATGATATTTCAGATATATAGATATAGATTATAGGTCTTATGAGATATGAAACGTCTATAATGTCTATATTAATGTAGATAGGTATATCAGGTAGGGATGGATACTCTATAGATAGGTATATTCTGATGGATGATCTATAGATAGGTATATCTATATTAAGTCTCATTATAGGTGATTGTATCAGGTCTATTTCCTATCCATATATGTATGAACTATGATCTATAGATATAGATGAAACCTATGTAATAATAGGTATCTGAAATGATTATGAAATGATAGGTATAGATAGGTATTTCTAAAATGATGAAATGATAGGTACATGAAATATCTGTATATATATATATATATATGTAAAGAAATACCTATAGAAATATATATATATACATATATGAAATGTGATGAAATCTATGTGATGCGTCTATAAAATAAATTTATCTGTGTCTCTATCTATATATACCAACCATTTGGGTAATAGTTAACCTGTTCTTGTTATATAGTCGGGCGGATTGTCAGTGGGTCCTAAAGATTCCAATGGGGATATTGATAATCCATCTGCCTGTCTATGCGTCTATATCCATCTACCCCCTGGTTATTTACAGTAACGGTTTCCGAGCTGGAAAATCACCATCTTTAAGTTCGGCAAACCATAAGTTTTGTCAGCTATAAATGGGCCCACATCCAAACAAAAATGAATAATATAGTAGTACAAGGGGCTTCCGCCCTTCCCCCAGTGATGTTTGGTGATTTACAACCCCAATTAATTATAGATATATCTACCATGCAGAAGTCCTAGTCGTTATAGTCATAAACCAACTTAGCTATCTTGGGGACACCACCTTGTGTGTAATTATATTTCATGAGTAAAGACAAAATCAGTTATATAAATAAGTACAACAGTATATAATCAGATGTGTTATTATTGTGATGCGTCTATAAATAGGTTTTGAAAATGATGCATGTATATATATATATTTATATGTGTGTGTTAATATATATATATATATGTTAATATATATATATGCTCACCCCCCAAAGAACCTACCAAAACAGCATCTTCAGTGGTATTTACACAAAAAACAGTTGTTTTCAAGTATTCACTCCACTATATAGAAATTATTTGTAAATATATAATATGCATATGTATATATATATACATATATGGTCACCCCCCCACCAGGGCCTACCTTGAGTTTTTTTTGTGGTATTTGCAGTAAATAAAACAAGCATTTTTTTGTCCAGCTTTTTGGGTGTTTGGTTCCTTAAGATCGATCCAGATTAATCCAGAATCGGAACCAGATCTGATTCATGCGCCGGCATTCGACCGTCAAGTCATTGTTTAAAAAAGTCGTAGGTATGCTGAACATGCCTAGTATTCCTTGGGGATGTGCAATTCTTCTTGGTTTTTTCAGCCTTTGGGGATGTAAAATTATGTTTTTGGTGAGGGAAAGCTTTCCTTCAAATAAATGGTGTTCTTGTCCCAGTAGAGCGCAGCTTGAGTTCTTTGAAAGGAGTGTTACCCTCTGGTAATTTAACATAACTATGGAAAATCACCATTTATAGTGAAATTTCCCATTAAAAATTGTGATTTTCCATAGTTATGTTAGTTTACCAGAGGGTATATATTTCCAAAGAAGTGGAGTCATCCAAAGGATTGTTACATATGTTCAAAACATGCTGTGACTTTCAAAAGAGGCAGCGCAAATTCAACGTGTTCTTTTTGGTGAGTAAAAGCCCGTTCCTTCAAACATTGCTGGTGTTCTAAATTATGTTTTTGCTCGTTCCAAAGGTTTTTTGCAATGTTTTCCAATGTATTTTTATGTTGTTTCCAAAGTTTTCGTGTTTTTTGTTGGTTTTGTTTCTGCTTTTGAGCTGACATTGGAAGTGTTGCTGGTGAGTTGACATTGCTATTGGATGTGATCTGAGGTAGGTTCTTGGGGTGGTGGCCATATATATATATATATATGTATATACATATACACATATATATATACATATACACACATATATATATATTATATATATATATACACATACATTTTTATATGACGCGATATATTTACACTTATATGTACGTAGTCATACATTTGTTTTATATGTGTTTTTAACACGGAAATTTGGTTGATCAGGAGGCGCCGCCAACAAAGAAATGGGGCCTGCTTTTGACTCTGACGTAAGATGAGGCATAAACCCCCATAAGTTGGGATATGGCAGTGGGTCAAAACCTTGTACCCCTGGTGAACATCAAAATAGCTGGTAAATGGATGTTCATCCCTCTAAAAATGGTATTAATAGGTATTGATCCATACCCATATAAACCCTATAACGAATTATTCAAAAATACGTCGACTTAAAACTGGAACTGCACTTCCAAGTATGGCTCAGTGACTGGACAAAGGATGCCAATGATGGAATTGAAGCCAGCACCAATGTACTTCAACGAAGTCGTATTCCTCAGCCGCGGGGTTCATTTCAATAAATGATGGTGATTCAGTGATCCCCAATCGTCAAAAAATGGGTGACTGGTGACTCAATGCTAAGTCATGGTCTACTTTTTGATGATTTAAGGGGGTCCACCACTAAAAAAAAAAACATTGATCATTGATCCTTTGAAAAAACCTTCTGAACGATTTCACATCTGTAAGTGGCGATCAACCTGGTCAGGGAAAGGCGATGGGTCGGTCAACCTGGCCAATTCATGGTTAAATCTGCTGAATCTAATCATGGACCTCCATGCAGCAGAGTTTCATGATGACATTGGCAGTTTGGAGGACCGCAATGGGCAGAATCCGCTTGCAATACCAAGTCGCGTTCTTGGATAGGGCCTCCTGCGCAGCGCCCGCTGATAGCATGGTGAAAAACCGGTGTGGGCTCAGTGTGTTCACCTCGATTCTGAAAGAAAAAACACTAGCAGTACCTGGTTTTGTCCATCGAGGATTTATCCCCAAATGTTGCAATTGGAAAAGTGAGGGTAAAGCGAAATGGAACTGGTGGTACCCCATTGACCCAGCTACCCGCTACCCACCATAGATCAAAATCCTAACTGAAAACGTACCCCAAATACCCTGTTGTAATTTAACGTAGACGTAGCTATTGAAAAATGCCATTCAGAGTTGATTTACCCATTAAAACTTGTGATTTCCTATAGCTATGTTAGTTTACCAGAGGGTAATCCCAAATATAGAGGGCAAGATCTGCAAGTTTTTTTCATCATCCAATTCTGGTAGGAGGGACGGCCACGAGTGTGTTCTCCTTGTCACTGAAGTAAAGCGTCCAATCCTGGGCTCCGATGATGGAGCCGGGTTCAGGAGCTCCCATTAATTGTGCTCCCAGCATGGTTTGAAGGGAAATTTTAAAGGAAACCGCTATATTTTGGAGTAAAACACCTATGGTTTGCGTCATGATTTTCCAATAAACCAATGCTTTGAGTCCTCACTTGTTGGTGGTACTATCCCAAATTGTTGATGGTTATATAAATAATAATGATGTAGCACATATCATATCATATATCACCCAATTTCTTAGAGGTAAAAAGTGACAATGACAACATATGCCATATGGCCCAATTTTTGGTTGGTTCATAAATAGCATCTGTTTATTTAACATAGCCATGGAAAATCACCATTTTTAATAGGTAAACCAACTATAAATGGGCCATTTTCCATGGCTATGTTAAATAACCATAGGGAACTATTTCTATGGGCCATCTATACCATGGCTATGTTAAATAACCAGAGGGTAGCAGTTTTGTCCCTGAAATAAACAATCCAGTCATGTCCCCGTGCGGGGCCCTGAGGTGGAAACCGCTTCGCACGTTGCCAAGATATGGGTCACCACCCAAACGAAGAAAAAGTGGATGAGAGCCTCGCTGGGTCGAAAGGAGTCAAAAGGTAGCTACTTGGGCAACACAATTCAACTAGAGAAAATGATGATATATCACGAGATTGGGGTGCTTCTCCCATTTTTTTTGCATGTTTTTTTGTTTTCCCCATATTTGGGTGGCTGTTTCCAATATGTGTCCCATATTTCTGTTGAATGTCTTGTGGGTCTCCCGTCTTTCACTGGGCTCCACGCAATACAGGAAGGATAGGCGAAGCCGTTTTGCTGGACCTCATGGTGCTCGATCTGGCAGGAAACGACTCGGAATTTACCAGTCTTCGGCCCCCAGGAGATCGAATGATGTGGTTTTTACGGGGCATTTTTGTAAATCCCAAGCTCGTGGTTATATATTGTGAATCATCATCATCTACCAATTGGGGAATTGTATTTAAACTGGTTGGTGGTTGACCTACCCCCCTGAAAAATATGAAAGTCACTTGGGGTGATTATTCCCAATATATGGAAAAATAAAATTCATGTTCCAAACCACCAACCAGATCTAAATATTGGAGGGATTTGGATGGCACAAGGTGATTCACCCCAAAATTCCTAAGTGCTAAGCGTTTCTGCTCAGTTGGGCTGCCAGGTGTTACATCGGAGACCGCACGTATCGCACTTGCCACGTGTTGAAAACTGCTTCGAGATGTGTATCCTCTAAGTAGATATTCCAAAAACAAAACCACCCTGGGAGGCAGAAGCCAACTCATTATCGATGTGATTCTATGTGTATAATAATACCGTGTATATATATATTGATTAACAAATAGCTTGCGCCCCAAACAAAGATTTTTTAGAAGTCAATTCCAAAGCTAAACTTACAGAGTGATTCAAACACAGTCAATTCCTAACCTAAAATAGTGATCAATCAAACCTGTTCTATCCCAACTGAGACTAAGGCAAGCTTGGTGGACAGCTGAACAAAGGTAATCGCAAGGACCTGCAAATTTCTGCATGGCGTGGAGGCTCTGGGAAAATGCTGGGAAGATACTGTTGGAAATTATGTATGCAACATTACAATAATGAACCCACCATTTGGAGAGGATGGTATACATTGGTATACCACCCATTTAGATCATCAAGAAGGTGATGTTGGGGATGGTTGATTGTTGGGTTTCCCACATTGCCGCCCCTGGGAAGCTGGGAATTCCCTGTGGCGACTAGGTAAATTCGAAGTGATCTCCACACTGTGGGTGTGTCAATAGGTCTTTGTGGCTTTCCTTACTTGGAGGACCCCTAAAATCATCCAATCTGGACCAATATCGCTTGGTCGGTACCCATTTCTTTCATGGTTCATCCACATTTTCCCTATTGAAGTGAGCATTTTGGGGGCATCCATGTCCTCATCTTCAAACCCAAACCTAGGATTAAAACTCATCTTCCAAACAATTTTAGACATAAAGAATCAGCTTTCTCAGATTGGGGGGTAACCGGTTAACCCCAAAACTTGGGATCCCCCTTCACATCCCAAGAAAAACCCATGCTTTGTCAAACCACCAGCAGAACAAAAAACCAAAGACTTGGATGATTTGGGTACCCAGATTTTGGGGATTTTCCTCCAGTCAATTGGTTTAAGGAAAATCTTAACCGGAAACCATAGATTTTCCTATTTTTCATATGGGGTTTTCCGGTTAAAATGTTCCCTTCAACCAATCCATTGATCCGGATTTTCCCTCTGGATTTTCCCAGAGGCCATCGCCTGCCCGGAAATGGCCACCACTCCTTTGATGCCATGACTGCGGTAGGCGTAGGCCAGACCTACGCCATTTTTTTTTGGCCCATGGATCCACGGAGAGAAAAATGGGCCACAGGTGAAACGTGTGGAAATATAGAAATATCATAGAAATATCAAAGAAATATTTTCATAGAAATATAAAAAATAATATAAAAAATAATATAGAATAATATAGAATAATATAGAATAATATAGAATAATATAGAATAATATAGAATAATATATAGAAGTATATAGAAATGATCATGAAATTATCATGTTCTGTTGTTTCGTGGGTTCAATTCATAGCTTTCTGCCATATTGTATACGTGATGTCGAAATACAGCATGCCAATGCCCAGCATTCCCCAGCAGAAAAGCAAGACAAGAGATCTTACAATGGAATTTGTTGATTTGTCCTCTTATTTACATTAGGGGTACCCTCCAAAAATGACATAGCTATGGACAATGACCTGTACATATATATATATATATGTGTGTGATTTACCTGATTTACCTATTTAACATGGTGATTTCCATAGCTATATTAGTTTACCAGTGGGTACAATTTCTGACACGTGGGAATGAAGGATGCAACCGGCAGAAGAAGTTTTTTTTGCCACTGACTTTGTGCAACAACAGCAGCATCTAAATGGTCTTCGCTCGACATGCGAGGGGCCTTTCGCCTGATTGCTAATTGCAATGCTCGCTTGATAAATCATGTCAGATTTGCAGAAATTTGCGGGAAAGGTCAACTCACATCTAAGTATCTCATGGACTTGTGATCTTAGAGCCATAGAAAGTGGACCAGTGGAAATAGAATGTGTAATGGAATTGTCATCATGCTTACCCATATATTTTCATCACATGGGTTTGTCTGAAAATAGGGTACCCACATCCAAGCAGGATGAACCATCATTTTCCCCAATTTTGAAATGCTGAGGGGCCCTGGGTTCCCACTCCCCACTTGGCCCACGTCCCCCACCTCCGATGATGAGAACACTAAAGGTCAGGGCCAACCAGTGCGGCAGCACCAACGTATTTGGGATAAGACCTCGGCTGCAATTTTCAGCAGGTCCACTGCTTCACCCTGGTTTTCACCATCAAAATTTGAAACAATCATTGGATTGGTTTAATATTAATGGTTAATCAATGTAAATCAATGTGAATCATACCAATATGATTATGTTTACATATTTATATATTTATATCTAATCATTGGATTTAAAAAAAATGAAAAATGGATTTTAATGGTAAAAACCATGGTTTCCGGTTAAGATGTTCCCTTCCAACCCATCGATTTAACCGTGGTTAAAAAAAATGAAATTGAACCATGTCATGCATTAAACACACATCAATCACCACGAAACCATTATGATCCATTATAAAGCCATCCACATATATAGATATATATATATATATGTATATATATATATGTATATGTATATGTAAATGTATATATATATGTGTATGTATATGTATATGTAAATGTATATATATATATGTACATGTATATATGTGTGTATATATACACATATGTATATGTATATATGTATGTGTATATATACACATATACACAAAGGTATATATATGTATAGGTATGTATATATATATATATGTGTATATATATATGTGTATATGTATATATATATATATGTGTATATATATGTATGTATATGTATATGTATATGTAATTGCATAAATATATATATATGTACATGTATACTTAGCCAGCCAAACTCCAGGCATCTAAAAGTTTGAACTTTCTGCCCAAAATAGCTGTGCAAGTCTCACCTCGCACGTGCCGTATCTTTTAACACTGCAGGGCTAAGGGCTAAGGGCTAAAGGTATCACATTTTCGCCCCTTGAAAATCAAAACAATGGCGTGAGGTTTGTAATGGGCTTATGGCCGGAGTTCTTGTAGTATGAAAAAGCGATGTTTTCACCTTTGTTTGGAACTGTGTCTAAACTTGTCGTGGTTTGAGTTTGGCAAAGTATGTCAAAGCAATGGCCTTGAAATGCCATGTTGGGGATCAATCGAAATAAACAAATGTTTTAGCCGAACAGCATGTTCCGAAATCTGCAAAAAAAATGAATATTGAACATGTTGGCTGGGACCAAGAAGGTTCCAGGATACCGTTTCGCGCGAACGCGTCTGGTTGTGTTGGCTCGAAACCTAGTTTTTACTATCCCGTGGGGCAACTTGAACCAGGTATGCTCGAAACAAACTTCCAGCACGGGCACTCTAGGTAACACACCCGAGCGGACGCAACTGGTTGTGTTGGCCCGAAACAGCTTTTCAACCAAACACCAGTTCAAGCATACGTCGCTTCAAAAAGGCCAGCTATGTGCAGACACCATTGTTTGCGTTTTAAACAAAACTTGGACGCGCTCCAAACTCCAAAAAGTTTTTCCTCAACGCTGGCCGCGAAGATATGCCGCACTCTCTGAGTGCAGGAACGCCACTACTTTCTGCCACTCGCAGCACGCTAACGCTTTATTTTCTAAAGAATTGGGTACATTAATCAATTCTAGTTTTTACTCTCCCCTCACCCTTGGAGATTTTGCTCTCTCCTCGCCCCAGCAGAAGCTTGACATCGCTGGCGGTTGCACGGCAACTTCACCATACATAACATCAAAGAAACTATGATCAAAAGGCAGGCTACATAAAAAAGTTTAAAGGTTAGGTCTTGGACTGCTAAGTATATATGTGTATATATACACATGTGTATATGTATATATATATATATGTATGTATATATATATATACACACATATACATAAAGGATCATAAAGGTATATATATATATATATATATATGTATATGTATGTAATTATATGTATATATATATGTATGTATGTGTGTTTATGTATATCTGTATATACACGTATTTCCCCATTCCAATATATTCCAATAATCCCGTCCTCTGTTCATATTAAACACCCCGCAGAAACCATGGTGGAAGTAGGGAGTGAAACCACATGTTTGGGACCATAGAAAGGGTGTGTTTAATATGAACGGGGGATGGGATTAAACGAAGTTTAAAGGGAGAGATACGAGTCATAGGATTCAAGGGTGATATATGGTGATATTCTCCCCAAGGGGACCCATTGTTTACTGCAAGAAAGTTGGACAGTGTCAGGAGTACTACTGTAAAAGAAATTCTAGGACTCTCTTGGATCGAGGTGTTGAGGGTCTCCAGTGAAACCAGATTATGTTTTATGATGTTTTGTGCGCAATGGAAGCTCATCCGATGTTTTCCCAATATGATGCCACGTCCAACAAGTGGGTAGTTTACAAGCAGCAGGACTGGGTCTGTAGCACGGGAGTAGCAAATATTCGTAGAACCAGCATCGACCGACCGTGACTTCACTTTCACACACTTCTGAACTAGCGCAACTAGCGTAGCAATGAGAAAAGTCACCCATTTTCAGCACTTACCATCTGGTTATTTAACATAGCCATGGAAAACCACCATTTTTAATAGGTAAACCATCTATAAATGGACCATTTTCCATGGCTATGTTAAATAACCAGAGGGTAACAATCATCATTCACCTACTGCCAGTAGAGGTAAAGAAAAGGTGGATTTCCACCTTAAGCGGCCAATCGGATGAAAAACATCAGGTGATACCGGGCGCTCTCTGATTTTGGCGGCCTCTCAAATCGTAAAAGGTCACAGAATTCCCCCGAACAACGTCCACCTAGGATGGTGGCTGACTTTTGTACCATCTGGTTATGACTAACATAGCCATGGTATAGATGGCCCTAATCGAAATAGATGGTTTACCGTTCTTAATAGCATGGTGGATCTTTTCATGGCAAACTGTTAGTCATAACCAGATGGTATGTGTCAACTCTGGCGAAGCTGAAACTTCCGCCACCAGTCCCCTGAGGCGCCCCGGCTTGCAATGGTTTGGATCAGCGACATAGTTACAGTAGTTTCAATATCAGACAGTATAGGACATGAATGAACCCGTGGCTTCCGGTTGACATGAATTTCGTGACGCTTAAGTTGGCAACTTTTTTTCAGCTGCGATTCTAAGGGTCCAAACAAAGGGTCCGTCATATGCCAATTGAAATTCTGGAACCTGAATATGTGAGAGTCTATAGTGATGATTACTTATGTAGCCACCAGTCAAGGACCAGGGAAAGTAGGTATAAAGGGAAGCTCGGGCAAGGAGACACTATGTTTGCAACTGCGATTGCGGCCCAAGAAAGGGTGCCGACAAAGGGATACAAAAGGAACAACTTGGAAGTCTTTCTGACCCTTGTGGTGATGATGATGATGATGATGATGATGATGATGAGGGATACTGTACCCTCTGACAAATGGCAATGTAAATCCGCCATAGATGTGTTTCCCATCAAATCCTCCCATCAAATCCTTCATCGAGTATTTTCCATAACCATGCTTAAATACCGGAGGCTAATCTCTACAATAATTCAGAACTATTTTTAGAAATGTAACAATTATATACTATGAAGATCTGTGAAGAACCTGCTGATGATGGTGACATGATGATGGATCCTTCACCAGCCCCTGATTGCAGTCATTCTTGTCATTGTTTATCCGTGTTGGAAAACAAGAGGTGCAAAGAAGTGACATGTCAATTGCTGCTTCCTGGACTTTCTGTGAAGTGCCAAAACTTCCAAAGTCTTTGAGTGTCACTCTGGCAAATCACTCAAAACATCGATTAAGTTCTTTTGTAGACCTTCTACCCAAAGTGAGGATAAGAAATTTCAGTCGTTGGTTTCAAATGGTTAGCTCCCGATTCGCCATGTGTCCTTTCTTCAATCCCCATTTTTACTGGTTTAGCCCCTTTTTATTCAAGGTTTTTCATGTTTGGTGGTCAAGTCCACCTGTTGGTGAACTCCAAGTCGTGCAGCTTGCATCCCCAGCCCCATGTGTTCACCTCCCCTTTTGTTCCGGTCTTTTTGGGGCGCTGTCTGAGTAGCCATCCTTTGTCAATCCGGGGGCCAGGATGTTGATTGCATATCGAAGCACTGAATCAGGGGATATCATAGCCAACTCGTCTGTCGGAAACATCACGGGGTAGAGGTAGCAAAGTTGGGGCATCTTAATTCATACTTATATAGTCAACAAATCATGGATATGGGAGATTTCGTCAGCAGTACTCGGTTCAATCGTGGTCCTTTGTAAAGATCAAAACGGGGAATGTCGCCATGAAAACCTTGGGAACTTGATGGTTACTTGAAATCTACTTGGTTCACCCCCTTGATACAGAATCCATTCAAAGTATCTGGCTGAATTAAGAGTCTCGAACCTAAAGAAAGTAAGAATAAGCTGATTGTTTTCTAATTCCCCTCACTGCTTAAGAATCATCGGTGGTGACATGGCTGTGACTTCGTTACGGTTTGGCACAGTGGCGACATGCCGTAACCGAATCAGTGCTGCTATAGCGAAGGGCTGCGGTCAGTGCTGCTTCACAGATCTGCCTCTAGTCCCTGGGCGGTGTTCTTCATGGGGGACCATGTTAGCTTTACAAATGGTCACTATTTGGGTAGTATCCACCATAATAAAACACCAGGGTTTATTCTTGACTTTGATGGAGTATTTAAAATTTAAACACATGGCCATCTGAAGGGAAAATGGCTGGAAAAAGGTTGGTCCAAGCTATATCCCATTTTTCGATTTTTTTGAGTCGAGCCACTGGCTGCTTCAACAAGGATCAACAAGGAATCACTGGGCCACAGCCACTGGAATTGAGGATTTTATCACTCTTGAAGGTGCCACAGACTTTATCACAACTGCTTCGAAAAAAAAAGACTGACATTTAATATCAGGTGTAACTAACTGTGATATTCATCATTACTGACATTACTAGTCCGTTAATAACCAGTTCCATGTGTGTGTGTGTGTCAGGTTATGACCTCTGTCAATATCAGGCTGAACTGCAGGGTTCCAATATCATGTTTACTGCAAGCAAGCACTGACAGAAAGCTCCGGAATCGTCTTGATTCGGAGTAGCACGAGATGAATTCCTCCTTGAAGACTTCATGGTCTCCAGGAGATGAAATAATAACATGCAACTTAACCTATTTGGAAAATCAACAGCAGTAATCAAAACACCCAAAAGGAATCTGCCCTAGGTACCAAGGTCTGTTTCGTTCCTCCAGTCCTGTAATTTCTTCGGTCCACGTTGCCATCATTGGGCAGCACGGCGCTTATGGCACTCATTCGTTCACGCGACAATCCCAGAAACAACAGGCTTTCCGAACCTCAGGGGGTCTGAGTTGTTCTTTGAAAGCCAAGAAGTTCGGCTGCAGGATGCTACAGGTGCTTTTGAATGGTGGATCATCCCGAAACAAAATTCAACACCTCTCAGAAACTATATCCCATAGGATACATGGTGCTGCTATATATGGTGCTCCATGGATCCCATCAATATACCCCCTTTATGTTAGCATATATATACCAGCACCATGGATCCTATGGGTATTGAGGTGTTCACAAGGCCGAGTGCCCCGGCCAGTTGCTCATTCGCCTGCCATGAATTGAGCAGGAAAGTGGTGTCGCAGTAACACCAAGCCCAAAAAAAAGATGGACAGTAACTGGTCAGGGACCATTAGTTGTAACATGTTGTAACCCAAATGGCTCTGATAGGCTACTCCGAATCGGCGAATCCTCCAACATTCATCCAACTGTTCATCCAATTTTTTCAGCTTCAGTGGGATGATCCCAAGGGATTCTCTTCCGGGTTCGTCCAGCTACGGGAATCTAAAAACATCCAAGATAGCTATGGGAAATCACCATGCTTTATGGCTAAATCATCTATATATCTCTATAATATACATATATAATTAATTATAAATTATAATATATTATAATTATATCAATGGGCCATTTTCCAGGGCTATGATGAGTATTTTTCTGCTTTTGCAATCACTGAGGAATTTTTGTCCAGTCGGAATCAGCCCGCGGCGCGCAACGAACGCAACGAACCTCGATCTTGATCTCGTGCTCGTTGACCTTTTTGGGAGACACGGCTCGCAAGAATTCGCTGGAGACCCTTGGCGCCACGCATGGTGCAACGCGGCTTCGGATGGAGGCCAAGTGAGGCGTGTTCTCAACTCACGTTGGGAAGGTTGGCTCGTTTTGGGTTTGAAAAAGGAGGCGCAAAACAGGCTGAAACACCAAGAAATTTGAGTTTGAAACATCTGAAACATCTTGAAACATCTAGAAACTGGATATTAAAGATCTATAGAAAGTGTATGTAGTTGAGAAATGTGCCCCGAAAAAATGTCGACCCAAGGAAACGCACCCGAAAACATGGTCAAGCACACGACCAACCAAATCTCACCCATCAGGCTCCCTGGCTCATGCACGGTGACCAAGGGCCTCACTTGGCCGAGAGAGTCAACTGGTCAACCAATCCGCGTGACTAGCAAACAATATCAACGAACCATGTCTGTTTCACGACGGCTGCAAAAACATGTTTCAAATCAAGGCGGGAAAAAAACATCAGAAGTTGTGTCATCTTCAATTGATGTTGGTTTCCATGAAATACTAGCAGATTTCCATAGATTTCCCAGCATCATTGAAGAAACATGTTGGAAACCAAGACACCAAGCGATTCCAAGGAGCAACTCTCTGGCGCCCCGGGCCTTGCCGTGATCGTCATTGGTGCCTTGGGATCTCTTCTCACCTCCAGCAACTTGGAACGGCGGTCACAAGTGAGGATGGTGAGCACAACATATGTATAGTATATATATATATAATATAACTATATATATATATATGATGTATATATATATATATTATATATATTATATATTATATATATATTATATATAATATTATATATATTATCCACCAAACAAACAGTTTTAGAGGTTTGTTGGGTGAGTCAAAGATCATTTTTCCTGCATCTTGGTTTTGATTTATCGGGTGTGTTTGACACAGGGGATCAGCTGGTGGCTGCAATGTCCCTGGAGCCTCAATGTCCTGAGGACAAAAGAGGGATCATCGGATAGTTGTTCAATGGGGGAAAATGATCTGGTTGGTGGTGCAAACCAACCATTTTGAAAAATATGATGGAGTTCGTCAATGGGAAGGATGACATCCCATATATGAAATGGAAAATTTTTAAAAAAAAAACATGTTCCAAACCACCAACCAGGATAGGGATAGGGATAAGACCTAGATGTTTGGTCCCGGCTTTCCAGCAGTTTTTCTTAGGTCGAAGTTTAGGGATAGTTGTTCTTCAGGTCGAAAGCATCATCCATTCCCCAACAGATCCTCGCACCTCCATAGCAGCAAGTTCCTGGGCCCAAGGGGCTGCTACTTTGGGTCACCATCTATTTTCAAATCGCCTCTATAAATCGAAGATTCCACCTTTTCAAATCCCACTTAAATCCATTGAAATCCCATTAGCTCACCCATTTTTCCTTCATGGTTTATTCACCACTTTCCAATAGAGGATGACTATCTGAGAACCCCCCGCCATGGGCGCAGCTCGTCCGGCCAAGGCAAAGTGAGTGTGCACCAAAGGGCCCTGCGGGTCACTTGGGTCGAGGGGGTTGGAAATGCTGATGGGGCAGACATAAAATACGTATCTATCCAATAGTTATCTATCTACCTACCTGACTATATTTATATACATATATACATATATATATATACATGATATATAGAAATGTGTATATATATGATATATAGAAATGTGTATATATATATACATATATACGTATATATATATATATAAACTCAACATATCTTGTATATTTACATGCTTTAAGTATATACGCACATCTTCCATGAGATCCCACAGCACCAAGTGCCTTAGCACGAGACAGCAGCAAGGTGTCTCCATGCAGACCAAGGATACCCTTGGGGATCTGTTTCACCTGGCAAAGGAGTGGGCGAACAGCATGTGATGTCAATTTATGGGCCATTTACCCTCTGGTAAACAAACATAGCTATTGAAAATGGCCATTGAAATAGTTGCTTTACCCATTCATAGTATGGTGATTTTCCATATATAGTTATGTAAATGTTTACCAGAGGGTATGGGGAACAAAAACATCACCTATAGTAAGCCCCAAAGAAATAGACATACCCAAAAAAGATTACAGACTCATAATTTCACCAACAACGCTAAATAGTTTATTACTTTCAAACAAATATAACTAACATGATAGACTAATACAACTAACTTATGTGTATATATAAATAATAATAATAAGTAACAGAAGTCATGAGTTTCCCAAACAAAAATCTGACCATGGAAAGTCCCGCGTCAGACCTCAACATCTGCTCGCAACGCTCCCGGAGATGTCGAGGTTCCATCGGCGAGCAGCCCATGGCCCTTAGGTTTTTTGGCCAGTTCCCTCTATTCAACGGGAATTCCAGGATCCTGAAACGGAGGTACGTTAGTACCATATTTTTGGCCATATTTTGGGGGTATATCCCCTTACATAGGCCTCAAAAATAGGCCTTATATATGGTAGGTACCTCCAATTTAGGTTCCTGAAATGGCCATTGATCTGTTGGATGGTAATATGGGTATGGGTCAAGATTAAAGACCTGTGAAACCACCGATTTTCATCTATTTTGAGTACTTGGTGGCTCATCCCACGAATGGTTTGAATGTGGGTTAAACGCTTAGTTAGTTATAACCCACCACTTTTTTGAGTGGGATAAGTATGCTTAATCCACAAACAACTGGGGTCATAATCCACTTACTAAGTGGGATGAACCACCAAGTACATATATATATATACATATAGCCTCTGGTAATTTAACATAACTAATTATAGAAAATCACCATACTATTAATGGGTAAATCAACTATTTTTATGGCCATGGCTTCAATAGCTATTTTGACACAACCAGAGGATTCACTAACCTGACAGGTTCGAAGTTCGGATGGGATAATTCCATCATTTCCCCGAATTGAAGGCAGGCAGTTCGTTCGCTGAGGTCTTGAGTCGTCCCTTCGGAACAAACTAACCCCCACAGGTTTCACAAAAAAACGGATCCAGATTCTCCTGGTTTAGGAATAGACTGAAGGGATTCATGGGATATTGTATTATATATATATATATAGAGTTATATAGAGTTATATAGAGTTAATTATATAGAGTTATATATATATAATCTACTTCACCAACTTGACATGATCATTTTTAAGAACCGGATTCAGAAACGCTTAAGAACCGGGGCTATCGTACTTGAAATGCACCTAGCGGAGTCGATTCCAGTTCCTGCAGCGCAGCTCCTGAATATCCACCAGTGTTTAGAGAAATCTGCAAACCATGGTTTTTTTAACCTGTTTTTACCCTCTGGTTATGACTAACATAGCCATGGAAAATCAACATTTTTATTGGGTAAGCCCAGGTAAACCATCTTTTTATCCATGGTTTTGGGAATGTTTTTGTGGGAAACAAAATCGTTGAACAGGTACATTTGTACTCCCACTGCTGACCCACAGGGAGCAGCACAGTTTCAGGTCGCGCAGGTCGCATTTGATTCTGAACCTGGGCAGGGCTGATTGGAGGTCCGATCTTTGTGTATGTATTATATAGTACGTATATATAATATGATGTGATATAATATGATATGATATGAAATATGATATAATATGACATAATATAATATAATATAATAATATGATATTATATGATATGATATACTATGATATAATATGATATGATATGATATAAAATGATATAAAATGATTTAATATGATATAATATGATATAATATGATATCATATGATATAATATGATGTAATATGATATAATATGATATAATATGACATAATATGATATAATATGATATAATATGACATAATATGATAAAATATGATATAAAATGATATAATATGATATAATATGACATAATATGGTATACTATGATATAATGTGATATAATATGATATAATATGATATAATATGATAAAATATGATATAAAATGATATAATATGATATAATATGACATAATATGGTATACTATGATATAATGTGATATAATATGATATAATATGATATAATATGATAAAATATGATATAAAATGATA